AAAAAAAGAAAAGAAAACACATTGCACTATAGCAGCTCACAGAGATCTTTGGGAATATCCAGAATCCTATTGCAAGCTTGGAACCGATTCCTCAATGGTCCATTCAGAGAACATTTTCTTGGTACTATAAGCAAGATCACCAGGTCTGAAGCCAGCTGGGCCTTGTCAGATGTACCAGCAGAGAGAGTGTTTACAAACCGGATCAAAACTCCAAAGAGCCATCTAGTTCCCAGGGAGGCTACAAGTAGTTCCCTAGGCATCCAGCTACTCACTGGACAGCATCCAGGGATCAACGGTCAGATGTTGCATAACACAGCACATGATCTACCAGCAGCACACACATACACAATCATCCTTTGGCAGGAGGCCTGGGCTTTCATAACCGCATTCTTGAATTTGCTTGTGAACCTTTTTTTTTTTTTTTGAACAACCACAACAAATGGATGTCCATGCCTGGCGATCTTATTTTGCTATGGAAAAGTGAATTGGCCAGTTGAAAGTGCCCAGACCATGGCAAATGGGGGTATCTGACCCTGAACATCACAAAACCAGATAAAGACAAAGGAATTTGGAAACTGTCAAAGAACACATCTATAGAACTAAGGAGATAGTCTCAATATTTAGCATTTCAGCAATATTTAACATGCTCGAAAGAAACAATGTAAGCTACTCATTAGAACCAGTATAATAAGCAAATGAATGCAAGGATAAATAAATAAATAACTGTTTGCAGAGCTAACCTGAGGGCAACAGGAAACTTAATGCCAGAGCCACAATCGGACTCAGGTCCAAACAGCCCTAGTCCTGTCTCCACCCCGAATTCACACCCTGCTCTCCTTTAATGAGAAAGAATGGCAGAGAGAGGCCAGAACTGAGCCAGGGCCCACAGGACGTGTGCATACTCGCCAGGCTCTTCACAAAAGCGTGGCATTTCTACCACAGTGCAGGCTGGAAGGGGAGCGAAGCAGAGGCAGAGCGCACAGAGCTAGGCGGAAGCACACCTTGGGACCCGGAAGGTTAGGACAGGGTGGCTATCAAGGCTGAAACGATCCTGAAGCAGCCTCCCGGGAACCCAGCCCCGAGGGCATGGACACCCGCTTCTGAGAGTGTGGGACGGGGGACCAGAGCACATGCATTCACAGCGTTCCCCCAACATCATGATCCCACGAGTCATCCAAGGAGTAAGCATTGTTTCGATTGACGGGTCAGTGAGGTGAAAAGACCTGTAGATACAGGCCACGCTGGAAAGACAAGACAAAAGGATTTACAAAAGCTGTAAGAGAAGGGAGACGTTTGGCATGAACTGAGACAGCCCATGCCTCTGGGAACAGATTCGGCCAACTTGGAAAGGGCAGGGATAGGCTCTCTGTCTAGCTAAGATCGAAAAGCCTGGAAAATAAAGCAGGAGGTGGTGTTCTGGGGAAGATCATAGGGATGTTTTCTCTCTTGCAAACATCAAAAAGCCTCGTAGCTTCAGAAGTGTTAGCAAAGCCTCACCTAAGAAATCACTGGCCTGTCATTACACAACCTGACTTCATTTTGAGAAAGCAACAGATAGAGAAAAGGGCGGTTTATGGTGGTCAGTAAGAGCAGCGGGAGGGGTGGTGGCCATGTTGTAAATCATAAAAGACCTTGACCAATAGCAGGTCAGAGAGAGAAGGCTGGGACGGGTTCTTTCAAGAGCTTCTTAACCTCCATGCCTTCCCTCTCATAGGTCTATGTTGCCAGGAACACTCACCCAGATCTGTCCATTAATTGACAGCCCCAAACAAGGCCTTCATTATAAAGCCTCATAATGGGGTCTGCTAAGTTGGCCCCGAGGTCCTGGTGAGCAGTGCTAGCCCTGCCTTGTCCAATTCTTCACTGTTCTTGGCTCACTTTTTGTCTGATCCCTGACTCCTGGGGACGTCGTTTTCTGTAACCATGAATCTACTTGCTGCTTTAGGACTCAGTGTGATTAATGGTGTTAGGAACACTGCCCCTTGGCACTGTTGAGGCAAAAAACATAAACAAATGAAAAACCCACAACTCTCACTTTGAAGGGAATAAAAGATTTTATTCTGGAGCCAAATAGAAGTGATCATGGCCCAGGATTCAGGTTTCCCCAGATACCACGCTCCACAGTGGAAGTGGTTTCTTGAGAGATTTCATTAGTTACAGAACAAAGTCATAAATCAAGGGATTCGGGGGATACATGCGTGGGAGCCACAAGTAGGTGGTTCACAGCAAGTAGGAAAACTTCTTGGTTGCAGATGCCATCTGATGAAACTCTTAGCGTTTGGACTGTGGAAAACAGTGGCTTCCTTAGAATACATCTGAAAGATTTTGGTAGTCACAAGGGTGTTAAGTCTCATATAGAGGTGGACACTGAAAGGCTTTCCAAAGGATTCAGAGTGGCCTAAGATACTTGGGCTTTGGCCTGCTGTTAGGTCTCAAAACCTGAACAAATGGCTGGGGTGCCTACTTCACATATCAAAGCAGACCTGGCTGCCAGATTCTCCCAGCACCCCTCAGTCCCTACCTGTTACAGGGTCCTCCTGGCTAGCATGCCCCTCCTGCTATCCTAAAGTTCTCTAGCCTAGTTATTAGGCTGGGCTTCCCTCCCCCAAAGCTGCCCTTCCCTGTATAATCCAACCATTTTGGTTACCTGGCACTTTCATCTACCCTTTACCTTCCTGGCTTCTTGGTCTGCCCCTCCCCTCCCCCTCTCCTCACTTGGCTCAGGGTCTTGTCCACTCTGGACTCTCCCAGATGTCTCTGCCTCTGGCTATACTTTCCCTTTTATCTACAATAAACCTTCTCCTCCACCATACCTAGGAGCAGTCATGCCCTTTCCTTTTTATTTCTTTTTTTTTTTCATTCACCTGAACCTCCTAGATGAAATCTGTCTCTCCACTTCTAGCCAAGCTGATGCACCTCTTAAACCTGCAGTCTCTCTCTCTCCCATTGCTTAGGACACCCTCCACCATGCCCTCCTCCGGCCCTCCCTCCTGCTATTATTCTTTTGTTCTTAACAACTGGCTTAATTACCATTTCTTTTGGATTAGGCATGCTTCCATATTTACCTCAAGATGGTACTCACACAGAACCACAGCCATTTTGGGTTTTTCTCTCTGTCTCTCTGTCTCTCTGTTTCTGTCTCTGTCTCTCTCTCTCTGTCTCTCTCTCTCTTCCTCTTTCTCCCATTGGACTACAAGCTCACATAATGGAAACCATGGCTTATGGTTGGGTTCTATGCCTCTCCGTTAATAAAGAAGTTCAGTCGTTTGGCCTAGGAGAATCTTCTTGTGCCCCTCTCCACTGAACTTCAATTGACAATGCCCCTACCGATGCTGACCCAGACCCCTGCCCTCTGCCTCCTCTTTTCTTGGAGGTCCTAGGCTAGGATGGCTATCTTGGATTCAATCCCACTCCCCATTACAGCCCATCCACCATGCCAGCAGTGCAACGCTGGCCCTGAGTATGGCTTCCTCGCCAACCACAGCCCCATTTGGAATTCATCCCAAATACTATGCCCAGCTTGATCTCTAGTAAACTGTACATGGTTTTTCTCCTAGCTTGTGTTTATTTCTTGCTTATTGGTGCCTTGTCTTTTGAAGACCAGAGTTTGAAATCATTGCTAAAAGTATTTTACTGAAAAGACATAACCTACCCAACTGGACACAAAGCTCTGGGGCCTCTAACAAGATCTTGATTCATCCCCACCTGTCTCTGAGCTCCTACTCAGGACCAAGAAGTAACCAAGCATAAGACATGGTTTCTGTTCTGTGGGACTCATAGTCCAATGGGGAAAGGAAGGAAGGAAGGAAGGAAGGAAGGAAGGAAGGAAGGAAGGAAGGAAGGAAGGAAGGAAGGAAGGAAGGAAGGAAGGGCCAACCAAATGGTTATAATTCCATGTGTGTGCCACCAAGAGATAAGTGGAGAAGACACACCTAATCCAAAGGAAATGATAGATAAGCTGGTTATTAAGAACAAAAAAAATAACAACACAGAGGGAGGGGCTGGGGAATGGCACAAAAGGCATTTAAACCACAGGAGTGAACAAGACATTTGGGCAAGTTTAACGAGGTGCGTCAGTGTGCTGGACCTGGAGAGATGTGGGTTTCGTGGGTGTTTCCGGCAGACATGACAAGACGGACCCACAAACAGAACCACATCCTGCTAGACTTCTACAGTTGGGCTTTTTACCCCACGGTAAACGTTACTTCTGAAACTGTACGGAATGGAAGGACAAACAGGGGAGTTTGTGTTGACAGCGGACGCCTGAACTCTACATGTAGAAGTCCAGATTCAACAGATCAGAGAATAAGCCAGGAATCTGCATTTTTCACAGCCCCTCCCTCCTCAGGGTGGTGCAGAGGATGGCTGGGTGGTTACTTTCCAAACACAGCTGTAGGAGACAGGGAGTCATAAAAGAGTAGCATGATCAGATCTGTTTCAGAAAAGTTGCTCTAGCAGAAAGTTCCCGTGCACCTGCTCACTCAGCAAGGCCTCTAATCCTTGGATAATCCTCCAATAGCCTCTGTGGCCCAGGGGCTGCATAGCTCTGAAAGCAAATCTGCTAATAAGAGGCCTCTGAGAAGACCACGTATGAGTAGTCTTGAACTGTTTTTTTTTTTTTTTCTTCAGAACTTTTCTATTCCAAATGTAGGTATAATATGTAGACAGCAAAGGCTACTGATGGTGAAAGCTTTGGGATGGAATTCTTGGAAGGGATTTTGGACCCTGGGGGATGGGCTGACCTGTAGCCCAGAGCCTGGGGTAGATGGATCCCTGTTTGGTCTAGTCTGGGCTGTAGGAACTCCTGGCAAGACGGAACCTGTGCTTGTTAACACAGGTCCAGGGCAATTTGGGTACAGGCCCTGGAGTTATTACCCTGAAATACCAATTGTATCATGTTAGAGAGCCAAACCCACTTGGGTTAACATAGTCTATTTTCTTGCAGCCTATGATGACTGAATACTCTGATAAATATTTTGCGTTGGCTACAACAATGGTTTTCCAACCCAAAGCCCGTACATCTACTTCTTGAAACTGCATACCAGGAGGTTTTGATCTTTTGCCACATGACTTACCTTCAAATTTTACCCTAGAGAGCCATGTGATCAAGTTATAGCCCATCTTACTAGATTCTTCCAACCTCCATTCACCTCAAGTTCCAGGTCTTATGGTGCTCACAGCCTGGCTTCATGTGACTCATCTGAAGCTGGACACTTCTGAAAGTTGCATTCTACAATCTTAAAGGGCAAGAGTCACATCGTAAGATCCTTTGTTTCTGGCTCCCTGCGTTAGATTTCTAAGACAGCGTAAAGAGACAGAAGGTGAAAGAGTCAGGGCTCTGACCTTCAACAGACGGGACTGTGCTCACTAGTACCCACCACCAGGGCCAGTCGCTCTCCCCTCGGAAACTGAGAGATCTGTCAATGGAAAAAGACGGTTGTGTCTCTTTATAGGGGTGGGGTGAGGGGGTTAGGAATGCAATTGTTGTGACACATTTCTCTTCTGAAGTCTCTAACCCACACTTCTCTCCTTCCAAAAGTTGTTTCCTGAAAGCGAGACACGCTGTCTCAACAGACAGTCCTTCCTAGGGTGACAGAGCGAGGTCATCTATGATCATGTAGGAATCCTGTCTTACGACGATGACGAACCACTCTATCATCTTGTACTCAGGCGAGTCGGGCTGAAATAAGCAAGAGGATGTGCTGAGACCCTTTGTTTTCTAAATCTTTCTTGATTTAGGATTTATTTATTCAAGCCTGGCGAGGTGACCTACGACTTTAACACCAGCACTCAGGAGGCAGAGGCAGGAGGATCTCTGTGAGTTTAAGGCCAACCTGGTCTCCATAGTGAGTTCCAGAACAGCCAGGGCTACACAGAGAGAGAGACCTTGTCTCAAAAAAAAAATTTATTTATTTTTATGTGCAAGTGCAAATGCCCAAGTACATGCCTCTGTACCACTTGTATACAAAGTGTACATGAAGGCATGAGAAGGACATTGGGTCTCCAGGGATTGGAGTTGCAGGCAGTGTGAGCTGCTTGATATGGGTGCTGGGAACCAAACCCAGGTCCTCTAAGAAAAGTGGCAAATGCTTTCATCCATGGAGCCATCTCTCCAGACTTACCCATTTGCTTTCTAAACACTTTTCAGAATTCTTTTTTATACTTATACTTAAAAGGATTACCTTCATCAGCTGGATCCTTATTGGTTGGAATGCTGTGATATTGTGTGGAGGTGGTAGTGTGGTGTATGTATGTATGTGCGCCTGTATTGTATGTTCAGGCTCATGCACTCATGTACGCATGGAATTAATGAGCTGAAGGAATAGAATGAAAAAGTAATCATATTCAGGTGATTTACATAGGGCCCTAATAAAATGGCCTCCCTCCTTTCCCTTCTGAGATATGTAGCCCTGACTGGCCTGGAACTCACAATCCCCTGCCTGGCCTCCTGAATTCCGAGACTTAACCCCCAGACTAAATTGTGAGGTCACCAACATGGAGCATGGGGGAAAGAATGAGGTTGTTTAAGAGACCTCCTGAGACTCAGCATCAAAGTAGGGGACCCCAGGGGGACCCAGATGACAAAAGGTACTGATATACAATGAGCAAACAGCCCTCTGCCTACTAAAGACTGAGGAAGAAAGGGTAGGGAGACACTTCCTACAGCATGGACATTCGAACTTTCCCAAGCCTCAGACACAAGAGTAGGATCAAACACAGGAGAAAAACAGAGAAGTTGCCATGCAGAGTTACAAGCAAGGAGTGGACACGTGGATACATGTAAGCTCTGTCTTAGTTAAGATAGCGGAATTTTCCCATGGCCAGCCCTGAGAAAATTCCTCCCAGAGTCCTGGGCAAGACATTACATCCAGCATGGGGTATCTGAGGGAAAGGAAATCTACATGTACCATGCTTCTTTGTCCATTTACTTTATTCCTTTATGACAAAATTCTATCTGTACAGCGTCAGCTCCATCCTCACATTCAGCTCCTCTCTGTGCCCACTTTTCCTGTCCTCATCATTTTAGTAAGCTCCTATGCTTTTGACCTCATCTTCGTCCTCTGTCCTCCATCTCGCCTTCCTGGCTCTCAGAAAACTCTACAAGAGATCTGCTTTACCCTCTACGGAATCTCTGTCTTCCTCTCTTCTCTCTGGCCTTGAGGTTCTGTGTCTGCCCCTGAAGTTCCACTCCAGTCCTTCCTGCACCTGGTTATGCAAAAAGCCCTATTGTCCTCAGTCAATCTCTCTGCCATGCCCCTAGGCCTGAAGACAAGGGATGGTCTGAGCTTCATTTGCATAAGAAACAAAACTATGCATCTGCAGCCTGCTTGTCTCCTAGGCTCAGCGGGGGGAGTCAGTTACCTAGAGGTTCAGCAGGTCTGAGAAGCTGAACTGTTTGCCAAATGGTCTATAGTATATGGGCTCACAAGAAATTCATAGCAAGGTGCAGCTGCATATTAAGGCTGTATAACACCAAATATTCTGTGGTAAGCGGCTTGCCATTTGACAGACCCTTGGTGGGTCAAAGTATAGCTTTAATACACAGCTGAATCTCTATAATATATTCTTGCGGCCCACAAGAAGTTAGGGTTTCTATTGCTGTGAAGAGACACCATGACCATGGCAACTTTTATAAAGGAAAAAAACATTCAATTGGGGTGGCTTACATTTGCAGGTTTAGTCCATTATCACCATGGTGCAACATGGTGGCATGCAGGCAGACATGGTGCTGGAGGAGTAGCTGAGAGTCCTTACAACCTGACTCATAGTCAACAGGAAGTGGTCTGAGACACTGGGTGTGGCTTGAGCATACATGAGACCTCAAAGCCCACCTCCACAGCGACACACTTCCTCCAACAAGGCCACACCCACTCCAACAAGGTCACACCTCCTAATAGTGCCACTCTCTTTGGGGCCATTTTCTTTCAAACCTCCACAGCCCAGCTTTGGGGGTTCTAGAAACAACTGGAGGACATTTTGAGGTCCTGGGGGGTCTGGTTTTACCTTGCCAGAGGGGCAAGAATAATGCTAGAGGAAATGACTGGACATGCAATACAAGCACTTCTTTGAAGTCCTTTGAGTGATGTTTGGGGGAGGGAGGGGAAGAGGAAGTAGGGAGTTCTTCTTTCTGTTGTATGCACTTCCGGGATGCTTAAGTTTTCATAAGGAATTTGTGTTATTTTCATATAACCCGGAAGAAGGTAGTCTCCTTTAGAAAACCAAAGCTACGCAGGCTGCAGCTTCTGCTTCCAGGGTCTGAGCCTTTCTCTGCAGCAAGGCTGGAGCAGGAGCCCACACCCGTGTCGTGTAGTGCATGGCGGAGCCCTGCAGAGGAGTGAGGCACCAAGGCGGCAGCAGGCCCACAAACTCCCCGGCTCCAGTGTCAGAGACATAATCACGCCTAAGGGCAAAAGCTGGCTTGGTGACCCTTGTGAGGTGCCACAGTGAGCTAGTCTCTAGGATGGACCCTGCTTCCAGAGCTCTGAGCACACACCTTCACACAGAAGTCCCGGTGTGATTGGTTTCTCGCTCACATGTGCTCAGGTTACAAGAGATGGAACGAAGCCTTCCACCCTGCTGCTGTCGTGAAGGCAGCCATTCCTGGCCAAGGTTCACGCGGTCTGCTCCCCTTTCCTCCCTGTGCCCCTGCGCCCCTGTGCTCCTTTCCAGCTCTCGGGCCAACCACCAAACCAGGCGGAATCATTTTGCAGTCTGGAGTTCCTTGATCCACACGGATCCTGTGACTCACTCTCTATCTACCTCTGTGTCATTGCCCTTTGCAGAGTCCGTCCATCCTCCCCACCCCACCCCCGCTCCCCGGGGCGCCCTCTGAGTTCAACACCCTCAGCGCTGCTCCCAGACACACTGGGGTCATCCTGGCTTGCTGTCCACAAGGGCTGTGGTGTTTACCACCGTTGCCTCTGGCGCTGGGCAAAAGGCTCAGAAAACACGTGCTGAGGAGTTCGCGGCTGGCTTGGCATCCTTGTCAAGTGCAGAGCAACCATGGCTATGGTCCCCTCCTCCCCGCCTCTTTACCCTCCAAGGGCACACTCACTCAAATGTCTCTTCCTGAAAACATGCACATGGAGAGAATAGCATGTTGGAGACTGGAGTTGCCCCCAGTTGCCTAAGACTCTGGGAAGACGGCAGGTGGAAAAAACTGATTAATCTGAAGAGTCCACAGGGGCTTGCACTGAACCCTCAGCTCGGTCCTGGATACAGCCTCATCCAAACTCTCCTGCCTGAAACAAGCTCTCTGTGCATCCTACAGTCACATTCTGGGTGTTTAGGAGTCCGGTGGAAGATCCACCTCAACTCCTCTCCCCATCTCTTTCCCTAAACCCATGCCTTCAAAGCCCGCCAAACACAGCTCCTCCCCCAGAGAGGCTCAAGACCACGCCCACAGGGTATATAAAATGCATCCCCGAAAACAGACACATGGTTCTTCCGGTCTCACTTCTCCGTCTTCTCTCTGCAGGCTGGGGAATCGCCGGGGGAGGGGGGGGGGCGGCGCTTTATCCATTAAACCTGGGCTTTTCCTGATTCAGTCTGATTTGGTTTGTTGCGAAGGCGGAAAGGCCCTCAGGAGGCCTAAAACTTACCACTGGGTTTCAGGGCAAAATCTCACAAAGATCTTTGCCGTTGGTGCTTTTTATAAACAAGCAATTCTAGACTGGGTAGGAACCACTCCTCTAACATGAAGGAACCATGCTGACCCCATTGGCCAAAGTTTAGACCTTACTTGGGCCATGTTTCTTCCAAGACCGAACAATAACCGGCACCACAGCACTGGGCTATGACAGTCCCTGGATTTTTACTCTGGAGGAAACCCACACTCCCGCCCAAGACACTAGAGTTAGGAGGCTTTTGACTGTGGTAAGGGGAAGCGAACATGTTAGCTCTGACTTCTCTCAGCAAGGGAAGGAGAGGATGTGCACTGGTGTTTCTTTTCTGTATGTATTTACCTTTCCTGCTCATTTTCTTCTTGACTGAATACTATGCCGCCCCAATATCCTGAAATTCTTGCCTGAGAATACTAGCATCTATTTTTCCTCCTTTTCTTTCTTTCTTTCTTTCTTTCTTTCTTTCTTTCTTTCTTTCTTTCTTTCTTTCTTTCTTTCTTTCTTTCTTTCTTTCCTTCTTTCTTTCTTTCTTTCTTTCTTTCTTTTCTTCTTTCTTTCTCTTCCTTCCTTCCTTCCTTCTTTCTTTCTCTCTCTCGCTTTCTTTTTTGCCTTTTAATGAGTTGGTTTAATTAATTCAAAGTGATACAGAATTCAGAGTACAACAGAGATGAAACAGCTCTGGTAGGATTTCAGCCTGGGTTTACTCTAAAATCACAGCTGAGGTAGGAATTGCTGAACACTAGAGACAATGAACCATTGTATTATTTATTTATTTATTTATTTATTTATTTATTTATTTATTTATTTATTTATTTACTTTACAAAAGTTTATTACAATGTACAACAGGCTCCAGGGTAACACTTCATTCTGACTGCAGGTGGCAAAGGTGTTATGGCAGGGAATCCAGATGTGTAAATAGGAATGGAAGAGGGTCACCATCATCTCAGATATGAAGAACAGCTTACTTTTTGCCAGATTTCTTAATTCCACCTGTGGCCAGGGGTCCCTTGCCTGCGGCCTTGGCTTTCAGCTCCCGAGTTCCTTCTGCTCCTCTTTCCGTTTCTGCTTGAAAGCCTCATCTCCCTTCGCGGTCCGACATGGGGCCTGCGGACAGCCCCTCACCCGAGCATCTATTTTCAAAAGACTTTCCTCGTGTGCCTTTGTCCTCAGTTTTGAGCGAGACCAGATCCTGGTCACACGGTGCAGGATTCGGGTCTTTTCACGTCATCTACCCACCTCACAGTTCTAGCTGTCATTAGCTAACATTCAGTTATAAAAAGGTGACACAGAGCCCTCTGCAAAGACTGGCCAGTCCCCTGACCCCAGTGGCAGACACAAAGTCAGGATCCCCGACAGCCCCGCTGTCTCTTTCCACCCTAGGAGCACAAGCTTAACCATCAGGCAGCCCCCGCTGAAGGCCCCGGCTTTAAGTCTGCAGGAACTCTCTGCCTTGGCAAGCTTTTGCTTACTCATAGCAGAACCTTCGAGATCGTTACATTCTAATCTCATTAAGAAAAAAAAAAAAAATCCCTGTAGCCTGGGGGTTGAGGCATGAATATCAGGAAGCTGGGAGCAGCATCAGGGCATGTGACAATGGGTGGCATCTGGAATGAAGAGGCGAGTCCTCAGTTGTCCATGCCAGCTCTGGGGCCAATCATATTGTTTTGTTTGGATTGGCTTCGTCTTTTGGCATTTAGAAAAAGCTAAAGGATCTACATCGAGCTGGCAAAGGGCAAGAGAAGATTAATGTCCCAAACGTTAAGTTAGGGTCCTCAGCTAACGTTCCCCTG